AATTGGAAGGACTTCAAATTTGTGTTTCTTTCTTTTTTTTTTTTTTTTTTGTCTTTTTCGTGACCGGTAAGGGGATTGCAACCCTTGGCTTGGTGTCGCCCGCACCGCACTCAGCCAGTGAGTGCACCGGCCATCCCTATATAGGATCCGAACGCGTGGCGGGAGCGCTACCGCGCTCCCAGCGCCGCACTCCCCCGAGTGCGCCACGGGGCCGGCCCCAAATTTGTATTTCAAGGAGCTCTTATTATTTAAAAAAAAAATTCCAAAAAAAGTTTCTTTTTAAAAAATTCTCTTGAAGAGCCTAGTACCAACTCTTTTTTAAAGCAATATTTACATATATTTCATCTATAGTTTTGGTAAAGTATTATTATTTAAAATAGCTGGTTAAATTGCTTGTTAATTGTTTTTTATGTCATGGTTCTTCATTTTGTGGCTAGAGGATGAGGCAGTCAAAACTTGCCTGGAGGGCCGGCCCGGTGGCGCACTTGGTAGAGTGCGGCGCTTGGGAGCGCGGTGGCGCTCCCGCTGAGGGTTCGAATCCCATATAGAAACCAGTCCGCTCACTGGTTGAGCGCAGTGTGGGCGTGACACCAAGGGTTGCAATCCCGTTGCCGGTCACGAACAAAGACAAAAAGGAAAAAAAAAAAAAAACTTGCCTGGAGTTAAACATTTATTTTCCAACTTTCATCATTGAGATCATGTGGTTTCAAACTCTTTTTTGATATTCTTTGCTTAATTTGCTTTCACAGATTTTTTAAAAAATGTACTTCTGTCAAAATTTGTAAGCCAAATCAGCTACTTTCTTGACTCTTTCCAGAAAAAGACCCTAAACCTATTCTATTACAGTAGTATTACAAGTGGCAGAGTCGTTTCTGATATGGAACGCAAGAATAAGACCAACTGAGTGGAAGAGATTTAAGGGGAATTTTGGATAAAAAATCCTTCTGTAGTGTGTTAGTCTGTTTGGGTTGCTATAACAGAATACCGTAGGCTAGATAGTTTATGAACAACAGAAATTTGTTTCTTACAGTTCTGGAGACTGGGAAGGCCAAGATTTAAGCTTTGGCAAGTTCAGTGTCTGGTGAGGGCCTGCTTCCTGGTTCATAGATGGTGCCTTCTCGCTGTGTCCTCATATGGTAGAAGGGAAAAGGAGCTTTCTTGGGCATCTTTTTGTAAGTGTACTAATCCCATTCATGAGGGCTGAGCTAAGGCTTTCAACATAGGAATTTGGGGAGAGGCACACAAACATTCAGTCTGTAGTATGTAGTATAATGACTCATCATTTGAGGTATTACAAATTTATAAAATATTTACATTACCTAATTGAAATATATAATTTTGACAGAATGTCCAATTAATTTCATATTAGCCATGTTTATTTTTCATTGTCTAAATTTTTAAACAAGGTAGTAACTCATTTCTTCTCTGTGAACCCACCTGGATTTGACGGCTAATTGAATTGCTGCTGCTGCTGCTGCTGCTCACGTAGATTCTGACTTCAGCATTACAGACATGATAGGAAATGATGCCTAAACCACTTTTAATGAGAAATTCAAGTTTTATAAATGAGATGGTACTTTGCTTAGCTTCAGGTTGTTTTCTAAAAACCAATTTTGAAAAATAAAATGTATTCATTGCTAGTTATTTAAAAGTAGGCATTTTTATAGAGTTGGACTTGTTGGCTTGCCATCACAGTCCTATAAAATTTTAAGCTGACATAAACTGGAGCACTGCTATTGTATGCAGCTTGGGTCATGCTGATGGCACCTGAAGGAACTTAGAAACATGAGAAAATATTTTTAAATTAAACAAAATTTGGACAGTTTAGGTAAGCTAGCATTTTAAGTAGCATCACGATACATTTTGTTTATACTTTTTGAACATACTTAAATTTTTTAAACATTTATGCTTTGAAGATAAAGTTAGATGAAATAATTTTATTCTTTACTAATGGCAGGTACTTAAATTATTCTGATCATGATGAGTTTCCAGAAAGTATTCATTGACATTAACTATCATTATGGAACCATAGGTTGAATTTATAAAATATTACAAATTCTGGCATCAGCTTTAATCGCAGCAACTCATTTTAAATTTGATAAAATATGAATAAGAAAATCATGTATAAAGCTCTGATTCTATGATCTGTTTAACCAAATGAAGTAAGCTCTAGATCATAGAAAAATTTTCTCTCAGGACTTATCTGTAGGCTTAAGTTTTACGTACAGTAAGGCAGAAAAGTTGGCTTACTTACAAGAATGACTTTTCTCAACCTTCGAGAAGAAGCAGGACAGTAGACGCAGATTGCCACAGTAATCTCACTTGAGAATTTCTACCACAAAACTGAAGTAGTGGGTGCTAATTCTTATTATAGAAATGAGTGCTTTTGTATTCATCCCCAGTATTAGATGCTTTGACTTTGGACAGAGGCTCGTGAATATAATTCCTTGTTGAGAGCAACAGTCAGTTTGCTTTGGCAGGTGGAAAAAAATCTCTATTCTTAGAATCCTGTGAAGCACTTCCCAGCCTTTCATTAATCACATTTTTTGTTCATTAGGTCAGTGTCTGCTCTGTGACACCATTAACTACACACTTTCAGATTACTAACATGCCTTTAGTCATCTGTAGGGGACGTGAGGTAATAATTACCTTAAAAATGTGCACCCTTCCTGAAGCCAATGGGAGCCTAAGAGGGCTGCTCTCTGTAAGTTGTAGCACTAACACACAAAAGAGGCATCTGCCCTATGGGCCATAAACTGATTACAATGTAAAAAGGCAGAAGAGTTCCGCCAAGAGTTACAGAGATTTTGCCCAGGGCAAGTGGGTGACCATGAATATATGTTGGGGATATTTAGTCCACTTAAAATGTTAGGTTATCAATTATGGTAATAGGGAAAAGGAAACACTGATAGCAGTTCATGATCCCGGAGAGCTCCTGCTTCTGAGTGGGCAGGCCTTGCTGTGTCATTTGAGAGGGGAGGGCAGTTGTTAACAAAAGCCACAAGCTGAGGGACAACATTATCATTGAGCTATTGTGACTTCTCACTGGTGCACAGGAACCAGATAATGTGTTACTTTTTCAGTTTCTGTGATAGTGGTGGTTCCTTGGATGTGCTTATGTGCTAACATTTTCCTACAAAAAGTGTTCTTTTAAATTTTTTTTTAAAAAGGAAGAAAAATTCTGGTTGGTAGAATTTGTAGCTTCTGCTCAGCTCTTCCCATGTACAGGGGGCACACAGTCAGTGAGGACCGGAGTGTGCATGGCTGCCAGGCTCTGCTCTCTGGATGCATTTGTGCTCTGTGGGCCTTTGCTCTCAAGCTAGTCATTAGTTAGAGAGGATTTGATACAGAACAATCTAGAACAGTTCTTTATTGCATATTGAAATGTGTTAATGATGGGCTGTTACAGAGATTTCCTTTGGAGTACTTTATTATTTTCCATAATTCATAAGTTATAGAGTCTCTTAAGTTGTCAAATTGTACTGCATTGTTCTGAGTATTGAAATGCTAACACAAAAGAGGAAATTGTAGTTAATGCCATGGGCTAGGTTACATTTTTTTTAAAAAAACACATTAGCTGTCTTAATACATTAAAAGACTAAGATCATAGAAAATATGTTCTCTGACCACAATAACAGGAGGAAATTTTAAAAATTCACAAATGTGTGGAAATTAAACAACACTCTTCTAAATAAACAATAGGTAAAAAGAAAAATCACAGGGAAGTTAGTGCTTTGAGATAAAAATCAAAGTGAAACATATCAAAATTTATAGGATGCAGGGTTCATGCAGTGTTTAGAGGAAAATTTATACTTGTAAACATCTATATTAAAAATAAGAAAAATTTCAAATCAATAATATAAACTTCTACCTTAAGAAAATAGAAAAAGAAGAACTCAACCAAAAGCAAATATAAGTGGAAAATAACAAAGATTACAAGTGACATATATGAAATAGGGAATTAAAAACAATAGAGAAAATCAACAAAAGCAAAAGTTGATTCTTTAAAAAGATCAACAAAAGGTACACACCTTTATATAGATTGACCAAGAAAAAAGAGAGGAGAAGGAAATTACTAAAATCAGAAACAAAGCAAGGGCGTTATTATGTTGTCATTATTGTTTTTTCGTGGTGATAAGATTTAGTTTTTTTCTCTTGTTTGCATTTTTGTTTTACCAGTAGGTTTTATTCTTTCTTATGTATTCATGGTAGTGATTATCATTTTTCAGATTCCAGATGCAAGACTTCCTTGAAGATTTCTTGTAGGGTTGGTTATATGGTGCTGAACTCCTGCAGTATTTGCTTGTCTGGAAAGTACACCATTTTTCCCTTATTTCTGAAGGATAGCTTTTTTTTTTTTTTTTTAAATAATTTATTTTATTTATTGAATCAAAATCGATTATACATATTTGTGGGGATGAACATTGAGATATGTCGATTAAATCAGTATTACTAGCATATATATTGTTACAAATCATAATTATTCTTTATGCCCCTTGTCCAACCTCTCCCCTTCCCCCATTCTGTCCCCCTCCACCCTCTAATTGCCCTAGATTTCTTTCTCCATCTGAAAGAATAATGGTTACTCTGTTAACTTGTTGCCTAGATGATCTGTCCAATGCTGAGAGATGTGATCAGGTCCCCCAATATTATCATAGAGCAGATGCTTCTTCTGTCACTCTGAAATGGGTTTTGTGGAAAGAGACATCCTCTTCTTTTCTTTGTCTCTGCTGGTGACTCTGTGTGAATGCACTCCAGTGGTTGGCAGACTCTCTGCGTGGTGGCTGTGGCATCTAGCCGCTTCTGCAGCAGCCATGGTTATTGTGGTGACTGTGGTGGGCCACCCATGTGGGGGTGCTGTTTTTGGCATGCTCCTTGCCACTGGTGGTATGCCTGGTTGTGGGGTATGTTTGGTCCCTTTCTCCTTGCCTAGGGTCCCCTGGCAGGCCCCAAGGTGCTGGCATGTTGTACCTGGTTGTGGGAGACAGGTCCAGTCCCCTTATCCATGCCCCGGCTCCCTGGGTGGGCTCCGAGGTGCTGGCATGTTGTGCCTGGCTGTGGGAGGGGGGTCCGGTCCCCGACTCCATACCCTGGGACCCTGGGTGGGCCCCAATGCACAGGCTCAATGTGCCTGGTTGTGGGAGAGAGGTCCATTCCCCTTCTCCTTGCCTCAGGTCCCCAGGCAAGGCCCAAGGTGCTGGCTCAGTGTGCCTGGTTGTGGGAGGGTGGTCTGGTCCCCTTCTCCGTGCCCTGGGACCATGGGTGGGCCACGAGGCACTGGCTTGGTGTGCCTGTCTGAAGGATAGCTTTACTGGAAATAGTATTCTTAGCTGGCAGTTTTTTTCTTTTAGTAATTTGAATATATCATACCATTTTCTTCTGGCCAGTAGAGTTTCTGTTGAGAAGTCTGCTGTTGGTCTGATGGGGACTCCCTTAAAGGCGACTTGACACTTTTTTCTTGCTTTTAAGATTCTCTCTTTGTCTTTGAGCTTTACCAGTTTGACTATAATGTGTCTTGGAGAGGATCTTTTTGGATTGAATCTGTTTGGGGATCTTTGAGCCTCCTGGATCTGAAGGTCCATGTCGCTCTCTATACCTGGGAAGTTTTCCATTATTATTTCATTGAATAGGTTTTCCATGCCTTTTCCTTTCTCCTTCCCTTCTGGAACACTCGTGATTCAAATGTTTGTTTGCTTGAGGTTATCTGCTAGCTCTCCTAGATTTTCTTCTTTTGTGTGTGTGTGTGTGTGTGTGTGTGTGTGTGTGTGTGTGTGTGTGTGTGGTTATTTTGAAAAGATTATGTTCAAGATCAGAAATTCTTTCTTCTGCCTGCTGCTTTCAACTCTTGGTTGTGTTTTTTATTTCATTGAGTGAATCAGTTTCATGAATTCTGCTACAATTTTTTTTAAGGTATTAATCTCTTTGTAAACTTTCTCCTTTGTATCCTGGATTTTTTTTCTCATTTCATTATGTTGTCTGACTGAGTCCTCTTATATATCAGTGTGTTTCCTTAAGATTGTTGCTCAGAATTTATTTTCAGTCATTTGAAGGGTATGTGAGAATCACTGTATTTTTTTGGTGTTGTTATATTTTCTTGTTTATTCGTATTTCTGGTATCTCTGCATTGATGTCTGGTCATCTAGTAGAGCAGTTGCTTCTTCTGTTATTCTGTAGTGGGCTTTGAGGATAGAGACATCCTTTTCTTTTTCCAGTCTCCACTGGTGACTCTCCTTGTGTCAGTGCAGTCAAGTGCCTGGCGGGCTGCCTGTGTGGTGTCTGGGGCTACTGCTGTGGCATTGAGACACTTTTGTGACAGCCGTGGCTGTGGTGGTGGCTTCTGTGGGCCACCCTCACAAAAGTGGTGTTTTCAGTGTGCTCTCTTGCCTATTTCTGGGCAGAGGGGACTGCTCTCAGCTCCCACCTAGGACCCTGGGTGTGCTCTCTTATCTGCTTCCAGGCAAATGGGGCTGCCCGCCAACGTTAGATTTGACATGGTAAAGTAAGGTATAAGCATTTGGAAAAAATAACCCAGACTTTAAATAAAAATATATAAATAGGGATATACATACACACCTTTGCTGTGTATGGCTATATACACACATATGTATGCCATAGCATATAAAGATATACAGATCCGTGCTATCAGTTATATCAGGGAAAGGGGTTTTGAAGTACTTAAACTGTTTTCTAAATTTCTAGCCCTACATGCTGTTGTGCACCCAAAAGCTAATGCAATATATAGTGGGTTTTATCAGGAAAAACACTGGAAACAAACACATATATCACTTCTGATTTCCAAATGTTAAAACATTTAGCTCTGAGATAGGACTAAAGGGTGAAGTACCTTCCTTTTGAGGAAGGTCAAAAAGCTCTAAATTTTCACTCAAAGACAGTTAAGACTGAAAATTGATGATGTCTCTCATAGGTTGTGCATAAAGTGTATGTAGTCTCATTCACCACAGTAATAAAGGTATGTTTTGAAGCTCTTGGGACAGTTCTATGGATAAAAACAAACCTCCAAAATACTACTTTTAACCATAGGTCACTTATTATCTGCCTCTATATAATTTGAAAATAAAGTTTCAAGAAGATTTTTGAGAAGTTTCATATGAATTTTAGAGCATAAACTGCATAGCCCTGCTAATGATAGGAATGGGACAAATTGTTTTAATATTCTTTCCAGTACACTGTGCTTCCTGAATTGGATAAAGTAGGGATATTTACAGTGTTCTCCACCCTTTCTAGGTAGGCAGCTACCTGCTTTTGCAGACTGACTACAAAGCTCTATATAGAATAGATCAGACCCCTTTTTCTACTTTTATTGGATAGCTAGGAATATATATGTAATATGTTTAGTCCAGTTTTAGATTTTTCTCTCCTTTTTGTCAGCTTCTTATTAAATAATGACATCAAAGAAACCAGAAATAAGTTTAAGCAGAGTGTCTCTTGATCAGGTTCTCTATCAGCAACTGTGCCAGGCACTGTGCTAGGACAGGTGTCTGCTTGCTGCCAGGCATCACATTTCTGCTCTTGCCATTCTCTTGCAGGGCCCAGCACTACATCAACATGCCCGTGCAGTTCAGACCAGAGTCCGTGGGCAAATTTGAAGCTTTGCTTGTTATTCAAACAGACGAAGGCAAGAATATTGCTATTCGACTAGTTGGTGAAGCTCTTGAAAAAAATTAACTAGAATACATTTTGTGTAAAATAAATTACATGTTATATTTGGTAACTTCATTTTTTTACACTACAATTATGCCTTTGTATATATTTTGTATGATAAATTGGATATGTATAACTACAGTTATTTTGTTATGAGAAGTGAATACTGAAAACCTGACTAAAATATCATGTATTTAGCCTACAGTATTGTACTTAACCTTTACAGGGGAGAAGAGAGTTCTTTTTTTAAATTGACTATGATATTCTGAATAAATGACATATTTTAATGTTGCATATCCAGAAATAAACTTAATTTTCCACTGAACTTGTCTTTTTATATGATGTCATGCAGAAATTAGAATATCACTTTATACTGCTAATTATTTCCAAGCTTCTAGGTCTGTTCTGTGGGTTTGTTTGTTTTTTTCCTCCTCCATTACAGTTTCCTTTCCCCTAAGAAATTCCCTCTCAGTTTCTTCTGTCTTTTCACTAATTGCCCAGAAGAGAAGTTGTTTTCTGCAGAGTGGTGGAAGTCTTTATATTCTGTGCAAATAACAGTGGAGAGGTTGATATATATTTAAATGTCATTTATTTATGATGAAAGCTAGACGGACAACTGCTCCAGAATCTGGTGTAGAAGAGGCGCTCTGCAGGCAGGTTCTAGTGGGACACAGAGTGAGGGGAGAGCAGCGGGTCCCTGAGGGACCCATCCTGTCTTAAGTTGTGCAAAGTATGAGGTAGAGATGGCGACATGGGTTTACATGATTATGAATCACTTCTCTGACCATTGCTAGTGAGTCTCCTGTTAAACTCTGCGGAGCCCCAACTAACAGGCTTTTCCTTTGAAGCAACAAAATCCCAGATTGTGAGCACTTGAATAGTAGCTTGGGGATGATCACAATTGGATGTTATTGGACTTCCACAGGGCTTGTAAAAAAGCTGCCTGGATGACTTAAACCCAATTACAGTTACCATGATTGTCTGATAGAAAAAAATCCCTTCCTCTTCCACATCATTTTTCTTTGCCTAGAAATTCTTGCTTAGAAATCAAATTTGTAAAAACATTTTTCACAAGTTAAATTGCCCAACTTCTGTTCTAGATATTGTAAATTGAATGTGAGATGGACACGCTTGAATGTGTGTTTATTTGACAATATTCAGTCTTAAAATTTTATTTTTTTCTTTCTTAATTTAATTTTGTTGATATACAATGAGGTTGATTATTGTGGCCCGTTACCGAAACCCCCCTCCCTCCTCCCTCTCCCCCCTCCCACCTAACAATGTCCTTTCTGTTTGCTTGTCGTATCTCCTTCAAGGAATTGTAGTTGTTAAGTCTTCTTCCCCCCCATCCCTGGTTTTTTGTGTGTGTGTGTGTGAATTTATTTATTTATTTTTAGCTCCCACCAATAAGTGAGAACATGTGGTATTTCTCTTTCTGTGCCTGACTTGTTTCACTTAATATAATTCTCTCAAGGTCCATCCATGTTGTTGCAAATGGCAGTATTTCATTCATTTTTATAGCTGAGTAGTATTCCATTGTGTAGATATACCACAATTTCCATATCCACTCATCCGATGATGGACATTTGGGCTGATTCCAGCTCTTGGCTATTGTGAAGAGTGCTGCAATGAACATTGGGAAACAAGTATACCTTCGACTTGATGATTTCCATTCCATAAGAAATTCTCTAATATCTTGTTCTGAAGAGCTGGAAGCA